TGGGTGCGTGTCAGGAATGACAGTCGGGAAAGCGACTGCTCGACCAAAAAAAATCTATGCTTGACTCACCCACACACCCATCCCCTCTCACCGCCACTTTCCCCTGCAGTGATTTTGCAATGAAATTCGATGGCCCCGCAAGGCGATGGAAGTGGAAGTTGGTACGATATCAGCCTCATTATGGAAAATCAATAGAAGAGAAACGTAACTTTAGACTATGCCAGAAAGAGAAGGGGAAATTGATAGAGAATAAGATGGAGAGAAAGATAGAAGTAGAAAGAAAGAGAAGGGGAAATTGATAGAGAACAGGATGGAGAGAATGGAAGAAAGGAGAATGGAATAGAGAGAGATGGAATAAGTAGTTCAATGATATGGACTACGCATTAACTAAAATTTCGATACAAAAACGAGCTGCTCCTCTTCCCATCCCCTTCAGAGCAAACAAACAAAAAAAGAGGAAAACAAAATTAATTAATTTATGTGCCAGCCCGAATTTTCCATGGCAATACACACACACATACACACAAACACAAGCACACACAGACAACAATCTATAGATACTCGTACAATTTTTCCAATTTCAACGTCATCCTCTAACAATTTTTCGTCCTCATTCGATGTCGTTGTCGATGTCGGTTTCGATGCCGTTGCTGTTGTCGGCTTCGACTGGAACTCATTACGAAAACATAATAACAGAATAAATATTGAAAGAAATGGCATAAAATTATAAAAGCCTTGTCCAAAGGCAAGCAGAAAGTGGGCCCTCTCCCAAGCCAATCCATTCTATAGAGGATGGAGTGGCCCCCAATCTTGTCCTCGCCCCCAAAGCGCCAATAAATTTCCTGAACTATCACACGCTCACAACCACAAATACATTCGCACCCAGCCACACACACACACCCACCCACCCACACAGATACTCGGAGTGCGTAAGCTGCTTACGGCTAAGAGCGCGAGTGTATCTGTGTGTGGTCAGACTTTGAACGTGTGTCTCGGTCCCCGAAGCTTAAGATATCCTGCATCTGACAAAAACAGCTACATATATGTTTATGATATAGTGGCGTGATGTGATTATATGTAGAACGATATTCAGGAGAACAAGTTTGAACATGTTTTGAAAAACCAAAAAGTTTGCTGTTCTAAGAGCTGCTTCAGAAACGCTGCCTGCGCTGCTTTTTTATTGTAGCTAACAATAAACATAATACCTTCTGAAAGGGCATAAAAAATAGGGCCATTACATCCCCCTCAATCTCCAGACAATGTCTATTATTCTTTTATCTCAGAAATGTTCCAGAACAGCAGCCTTCACTTGCCAGCGGAGAAAGTGGTCCGCATCGAGCGGCCATTTATCAATTATTGTATAAATATCGAAAATATTTATTTTTAATTTTCTTTAAGCTGTCCTCTTAAGCTTCCTTAACATTAAGTAAGTCAATACTATGAAAAAACAAAACATAGAAAATTTCAAAATTGTTGCCCTTAGGTAAGACCATGATCTCCCACAGTGCTTAAGAATTGGAATAACCAACAGTATACCCTCAAAATTTTACACATTTTCAGGCGGCGCGTGTCTTGATTTAAAACCCATATTTAGTACTAACTCACAGACCATTCAACTGAACCACAAAAAGAGTCACTTTTTACACAAAAAAAACACCCAATAAATGTTTCTTATCTTTAACACCCCAGAAAACCGGGAAAAAAACACGGATAGGGATAGGACCCCTAAGCCTTGGGCAAACACAGACGCGTGCGCCAATAATATCGAAATCGAATAAGTAAACAAGATTCATAAAAAAAACTATAAGATACAAGGCCTTCTCGTGTGTGTGTTTGTGTGGCACGGGTGGTTTGTGTTTTTAAAAACCATTCGTAGAGAACCACCAGAGAGGCAGATCCTATCCAGTGCCCCGAATGGTGGCAGCTGCTGCTGCTTGTCCTCTGTGAAATTCAGACGCGTGTGAAGCGTGTGTGTGCCCTGGGTGCCGTGCCCCCCCAAAAGATGTTAAAGGAATCGAAATAAATTTCATTCGAGTTTACAATTCTACGTAGTAGAACCCTCTCGAAAGGGTTGTCGTTGTCCGCTGCAATCAATGGCCCATCGCATAATGCACATGGCACATGGCAGATTGGACAGTTTTCCAAGCACAATTTTTCTCGTTGAAAATGTGTAAAATTTTACCCCAAAAACGAAAGAGGTCAGGTCACCAAATTACTTTTGAGCGCGCATTGCAGCGTCAAATCAAGCGAATGAAAAGTAAAATCCATGCATGATACGATATAAGCCATAAGGGGGAAGACTCTGTCCCTGCCCCATCCCCTGCCCATAGAGAAAGGGGTTACGGGCCATAGGGTAAGGGGTAAGTGGTGCGGGCTGTGAACCCTTGCCCATTGTAAAGTTGCAATTTTCTATGGATAATGCGAAATTTCCAACGTAAAAAAAAAGGAAAAATAACAAAAAATTTCTTGACATTTTTCGCATAAAAATCTCGTTGGGTCGAGGGTTAGGGGCAGGGGTAAAAAGGGTCACCACTCATTGTGTAAATAAAGGATCAGCATTGGGATCCGGATCGATGCAACCAACTGTCACACGTCCATGCGAAATTAATAAATTACATTTTCTCCTTTCTTTTTCGCATAAAAATGTGTGCCAACTTTTTAGCCCAAAAAAAAATAAGAGGAAAATTTAATTTTTTTATTCGGGTGCACATGGTAGCAGCGACAGGGCAGGGGCTGTGCCCGATGAAGGGGTTGCGACACATTAGCTGATCTGAACCTATTAATAAGCGTTGCCAACCCCGGGTGCGACCTCGCGACGCATCGCCTGACACGTGGGTCAATGTCGCCCGACCTGAGGCGACAGTGGCAGCGGCAGCTTCCTCCTTATTCTGACAGGCGGCACAAAAAATGGGTGAAAAACTACCATAAAAGAACCAAAAAAAAAAAAAGAGGACAAAAAACGGAAGCCCGTTAAAATTCTCACTCGATTTGAAATTGGAATTTTTCAATAAATTGGCACAAAACCTTGGCCATTCTTTGTTCGGCAGGCAATAATCCTCTTAACTGCAGCGCGACTGTCGCAAAATTGTGACAAAGGAAATGCTGGAACTGGGAAATAGGGGTACCAATGCTGGTGGCTTTGTTTCTTTCTCCATATCTCCAGTTGTTATTGTTGTTGTTTCTGGCACTAGTTCAATAAATGAGATTTCGTTCGGAACGAGGGCCAGCTATGCATACATATTTCGTATAGCAGAAGCCTCCCAGGCTAAGCCGTTAACTAGGACTGGACCAAACATTTTGGTGATTACTCAAAGAAAAAACGACAGCCAAATCGGTCGAAACCTAATGTTTATATTTCCCTTAAATGTGATGAAGTTAATCATAGGATTATCCCAAAGACCCAACAGCTTAAGCCTCTCAGAATTTTCACTATTTCTTTACAGTTTTTAGCATAGTATATTGCTAGTATTAAAATATAGAAAAATCTATAATATATAATGTAACTATAATATAAAATGCATTATATAATTAAAAAAGGTTACAAATCTCAGGGACAACAATTCAGATACCAAGACTATATGGAAAGTCAAAACAGTTTGCGTTTTCTACACTTCCATTCCATTCCAACAAAAAGTAGAGATTAAGATGTACAAGTGTGAGTGCCAAATTTTAGAAAATATAAAAAAAAAATTAACTACAAAGGAAATAAAATATATAAATAATAAATATATTCAAAGGCCTATGTACAACCCCATCGGATAGAGACAGATTACTTCAGTGGAGCAGTGGGCAAACCGACTATCTATTCGCATAAATATACGCCGTCTTTCGTATTATCAAAGACTATGCAACACCTCGTCTCTGACCGCGGTCCGCTTCCTACTCAGCTTCGTCTGTTCAAATTGTCTGGGCAGCTGAATCTGGGACCGGATTCCTGCAACAAATATAAAGGCGCAGAAAATACGTACTTTTCGGCCTGTTACTTTCTTAGCAACAAATACGCAGTACTTGGTGACGCGCAAAAGTCGGTCCTCTAAACAAGCGAATGGTTCAACAGGGAATGCCCAGGAATACAATAACAAATTGCATGACTTGGGCCTGACGGTCATATTTTCTCCGAGACCGAAAACTCGCCACAATTTAATAATTTTAAAATTTGTATTTAAAAAATGTAGCCGTTCACGGAACGTTTATTCCGAGAATCACCAACAGATGGCGTCGCGACTGTTACATGTCAGATGTAAAATTATCAACACCAAAAATATCTATCGACTTATTGACATATCTGTTTACGGTATATGCTGTTACTATACTTTTTTCTTCAAACCTTATTTTAGACAAAATCAAATAAACAGGAGTACCTAAAATTAACCAGTCATGTACAAAATTTATTCATCAACCGGATCAAATTATGTTTTAAGGGCTGAGAATCCTAGCTAGCTATTAATATTCAGCCGTACATCAAAATCAATGAAAAAGATGAATAATAGAATGGATCTACAAGAAGAATTATTATTCATATTATTATTTTCCGCGCTTTAACCCAAGTTTTTATCCGGTTTAAATAAATGGGGCTTAAGTGGGCTAAGTTCGTTTTTTCATTTTTGAAAATGAAATTTCTGACAATTTCAACAATTTTTTACATTAGTCGTAATTTTGAATGGGCTATAGAAAGAGGTATGGATAACAGGAAAAAACAGCCAAGGCGAATTGCAAGGTTCGTACGAACCTCACCCTTCACCCCGCGTGGGAGAACAATATACCGTGAAGACAAAATCGAAGTTTTGGCGAAACGGGTGGATTTTACCTTGCATGCGTTGCATTTTCTGGACCGTTCTGCCTTTTGTCCATACCCTCTCTTTCATATCATCATGTAGCAAAATTGTAGCAAATGTGTAGCGAACGTGTAGCGAACGTGTAGCAAGTGTGTACAATATTATAATGTCTTTATTATTGTCATCTCTAGGCTACTTGTAAATCGAAAAACTCCCAAAACGAAAACGAAAACTGCCCCCAAGAAGTTTTGATTATATATTATTAAATACGGTTTTAACCGTTACGTGACCTTTACACACTCTTCCAAACAGGACAAGACAAAATGGTGATTGGGTAAGGTGTAATTAAGCTTATGTTTGCCAATTACGTAAGCCTCAAACGACATGGTCTTTTCGCAGATTACTTGTTCGCGGCGGCCTGGTGGCCGGGGCAGTTTACTACACGAACAAAGTGGGAATCTGGGGCGACTCCCAGCAAACCGAGCAGCTCTACAACAATGTCAAGTCCGAGCTGTGTCCGTATGTAACGAAGGCGAAAAAACAGCTGCCATTCGATGTGCCCCAGCTGCCGAACACCGGCGAGATGCGCTTCCTGGCCAAACACTATTACAACGAGGGCGTGAAGGGCTCCATTCGCTTCGTCCATATGCTGCCCTGCTACGCGGGTCGCGGCATTAAGAAGGTTAAAGATACATTCGAGGATTTTGCTAAGTCCCCGGCCATCACTGGCAGCCAGGACGCCGGCAGTCCAGCAAAGCAATAGGCCCCTATGTGCCCTACTATGTTCTCTTATATGCCAGGCTGTTTTGTGTTAGTTATATTAAGTGTATAATTTTTTTCCCTGCATGCCCACACACAACACCAGCAAAGTGACAAATCATCTGTGCTCTGAATACTTAAACGATTGAGGGGTTCCCTCTTCTAGTTAAGTAATAAAAATGATTATTTTAGCGTGAAGATCGCCGTGAAATGTAACAACAGATTGTCTACTCAACTTATTTAAAAACCAGAAGGTTAGGCAGACACCCTATTATTTAGTGAGATATGCATTTTTATACAACTGTATGCATCCGAATGATGTGGCTATTTACTTTGTGAGTTCTGCCAGATAATTTATTTGGATCTTGCTGTCTACGTAGGATGCCTCGCCAAACAAACGAAAAAACACGTCGTCCACTGATTTATTGGCCCTGTCCCAACCCAAAGCTCCGTTTCAGCTCGGATTTTGTATTTGGCTAGCTAAAACACTACGATACCCTACCACGATGATGGTAGCACGTGAATAAAATCTGTCATCTTTTGGCCCATGTTTCTCAAGCGTCCCACGCGCCGTTGAATTGTGGCAACCGCCGCGTAGATGCCTCTAGATGCAGTTGACACGAAATTATTACTGTAAACAAGGCGATGTTCGAGATTGGCAATTACTATATAGTATAGCCGAGAGTATAGCAGACTCTTGATAAGGCTCTGATAAAAGACAAAAGACGGAGAGGTGGGCCGCGTCATGTTATTCATCTGAGTCAGCTTCATTGCTTGGCTTTTCCAACGCCGCAAAGCAACGTATGGTTGACATTTTACAGCAGCTTCCGCTCTGATTTGGCCCAGTGTCAACATCACATTACGCATACGCCCCACAGTGGCAAAGGCAAATATTAAACACTGCTCTAGGACGCGCGGAACACATCTAAATACTAAACCCAAAAGACGTCATTGAAGGCAAGGCGTACGCCTCTAGTTGATAACAATTTAGTGCCCCAATTGGGCTACCTAAAACGAACATATCTCGTACCTGGTAAAAATCCCAGCCAGAGAGAGCCTAAAGTCCCAAAAAAAAAAATAGATAAACCGAACCCGAATGACTGAGTGGCCGGCCATCCCAACTCGTTCAAACTGTCATTGTTTAATTTTAGGCAGACCACTCAAGTGCCCGTGCCCAGTCCTGATTATCTGATCTGCCCGGTAATACATACTATACAATGGTCGAATACTTTTAATTTCGATTATTTGCAATTCTATTTATGATACATATTTCCCAATCGCTATAGCCATTGCCATTGCCATTGCCCTTGTCGCCCGTTGGGTGTTGCTGCCGTTTATTTACAGAGCATACCCAATTTTTTCTTTTTTGTGTTTTAATTAATGAAACTTTTCGCTTGTTTATTGGCTTTAGCGATCCAAACACAAGCAACTGTCTACTGCCTGCCAGCTGATGTTGTCTTGAGATAAAGATACTACTCGTACGTACCGCACCCACCCCCAATGCCTGCAGACCCTCTCGTAGGTGACTCACCCACCTGGCATCGCAGACAGAATGCCCGATCTGTAGATCTCCTCTCCTCGCAGCAAGCGGCGAAACCTCTGAAATATCGAGCCAGATCACGTGCCCCCAGGACTTCATTGCCGCACAGTTGCAAAGAAAGAAGATGTACATATGTACATAAATAGCCAATATTTGTGGACAAATATGGGAAAATCACATTGCCAGCGACCCATAAAAATCGGAGCAAATAAATGTTTAACCTCTAAAAGGTACACAACACGAAGGCATGGTCCCACAGCAAGCAACACCTCCCCCTCACAAGATCATGCCATGGCAATGACTCCGGTAAACAGCCGAAGATACCCCAGAAGCGTCAGGAAACAGCACCGCACCGCACCGTACGGCGATAAGGCCAACAAGTACTGCCTTTTCCCCTTGCCAAATTAGCTGTGACACTGCCAGCCTCTTGAATAGAAATGGCCTCCTGTTTGCACTGGCAATGCGAACAATAATTAAATAAGCTTTCTTGTTAAATATTCGCAGATCAAATTTGCTCAGCTACAGCTACGAGCATTTCATTTAATTAAAGTTCCCAAAATAACACCCACGATAAGAGGGTGAGAAATTGAGAGAACTATGGGCTAAGAATTGACGTAGGCAAATGTGTCTTCTTATAAATTCTAGGAACGGAGTTGGACTAATTGCTTGCCATAAACCTTTTTATTGGTTGAATGACTAAGAATATAATATATCTATTTCTGAAAATCGGAATCCTCTTCAGATCTTCTGGGATTTCCAGGATTTATTCAAGAGCTTTCCATTGATAGACAGGATTTAAAGATAGATAGATTTAATTTAATTTTCTTCCCCTTAATTATATTCCATAGTTAAATAAAATATAAATACTCGTGCTCAAAAAAACTCTTTGAAACTATATTTTCTTCTATTTATCTCAGTCGCAGACTCATACCTCATTCCGACAAATAAATCATTCAATCATAACCGAACAGCACTCACGATCCATCCACTCAGGTTTCAGACTACTGTCTACGAGTACTCGTAGTATCATGGCAACTTATTGTGTTTGACAAAACGTTATTAACAACTCATTCGCAATTGGCCATTTGTCATATATTCAATATATTCAATTATTGTCACACTCTTAATTCTGTGTCACGTCGCTGCTTTAGCTTCGCTTTTTGCCAAGCCTCATTATTATTGTTAATACCTTTTTGTTTTTTTGGGGAGTGGGTGGATAGATCGACCTCTGAGCATAATCCCTTGGATCGATCGCTGGCTGGCGGACAGGGGTTTATTCAACCAGGAGGATCGCACATCGCACATCGCATAATCGCTATTGTACGAGTAAGCTGATAAGAATTGAATAGTTTTTGCTAAGGCAAAATCAGTTTAGTTTGAGGACAATGACAAGTTTATTGAACCTGTAGCACACCACTTATATAACTACTACCAGTTATCAGTTGATGGATAGAGATATGTACATGGTAGAGGAGGAGAGAGATCTTGAAGGTAGAGCGTGCTCTGGCCGCAAACATTGCAAGCCAGTCGTGGAAGCGTGGGCGGGACACACTTGAGCAAACAGATCCCTCACACTTCCACTCCCCTGTGGCTAAGCGTTGTCGTAATTAGTGGGATGTTCTTGCGTGTGCTCCCCTGACTAATCATCAAAACAAGAAATGCAACTGCATCTAGACTGCATTTTCAGTGCCTTCTGAAATGTTACGTTTATTTATTCTGTTTCTGTGCATTTTCCAAGACGACTGTCATACCGGTTTGTATTTCGCAGCATTGCTTCCGATATGACCAACGCATTCGTATACCCATTAGATATCTGTAGATCTACAAAGTGTGCTCTCGGTTGGCGCTGCTTATAAGTGAGCCGATCCCCAGGTGACCCTGCGCTGTTGCCTTTGAGCTGTTGAACGCACTGAACCTCTGTCTGCCTCTGCCTCCGTCTCTGATTCTGCTGCTGCTGCTGCACTGTCTGCTGTTGCCATTGTTGGGGTGGGAGGGGCTACCATCCCAATAGAAAAGTAACACAGAACATTAACTGGTCTTATCAGGCTTCCCAAAAAAAAAAAGCAAAAACCGACACGCTGAGAGCTACACGAACCGCACGAGCTTCGCCTCCCCCTCAGTGCTCATTGAGGCGTCGGCGTCGACAGCAGCGCACCTAAGCAGAGCAGAGCCGAGCCGAGCAGCAGCGGTATAGCCCAGGTATTTCTGTGGGGCGCAAACGCAGCGCGAGTTCAAAACGCCAGCGACTGGAGCTGGAGAAACAGACACAAACAGACTGGCAACTGGCGATCGTCCTCGAGAGAACATTAAGAACTACGAGTGTGCCATAGAACATTAAGAATTGAATTGAATTTGCATTTTTTTTTCGAAGTGAATGTGTGCAAAGTGAATGTGAATGTGCGCGAGCAGGTCGTGTGAAACATGAGCATTTAACTTCGAATCATTCCCCATTCGGCCAGCCCAAAGAACACCTTAGCCAAAGTTAAAGGAAACCAAATCAAAACCCAACCAAATTGTAAACCAAAATCAACATGAATCACTCCAGGAATGTTTTGTGGACTACATTGATCTTCGGCTCAATCCTCGTCCTCTTTCAAGCCTCAATTGGGTAAGTCATGAATCTTGAAAGTCTTACCTTGGGAAATTCCACCCTTTCCTTTCTGAAGACTTTTTGAAAAAATAAGAAAGCAGATACTTTAGCTATATATAGCTATATTTAGCTATATTTTTAGCTCTTCAAATGTCTGATAAAACATTAAAATGGATATGTATGTATCGGTGGGTGTCTGATAAAAAAAATGTTAACAAGAGTTGGGGCTGCTTTCTCAGTAAATTGGCAACAATTTATGGAACTTTTTGTCTGCCTCAAACAAGCAGAAAAAGATGACAAATTGTGCAGGAGAGAGTACGAATAGAAGGGAAATACCATTCATTTTGAAAATGGTGATCCCCATCTACATAAAGATTCCATTGATAAAATAACTTCAAGAATTTCTGTTCTGATAATGGAAATGAAATCTGAAGATGTACACGAGAAAATGTTTATGTTGGAACTGATAAGAAAGGGTGAGGTAATAAGAAAGGGTTACACATCATAGAATTTGGTAATTATTTTGTTTATAAACATTTCCTGATATCACAAAAAAAAACTGTGAAATATTGTTTTAGAGATATATTTGCAATACTTTGGAATTTTCTAGAAACACAGAAACAAGAAAGCACACATACATATTTAAATGAAATATTCGGTTTTTAAATACAAACATAGTGAATTTGAATGGTATTAAAAAGTCATTTCAATTCGGTCAATATTTAATCTTAATATAAAAAACTTTAAAACTTTAAATGCATTTATACAACATTTTTAAGAAATATATGTAGATTTAAATCAAATTTTTTTCATACTAATGTCAAAATGTAGGTGAAAACACTTTGTTTTTTAGAATATCCTTTCCCGGAGAAAATCGATGGCTGTAAAATTTGAATTTGAAGTGTAAATAATAAAAATGTCTTGCCTTTTTTATCTGGGTGTAGAGAAACCTTAAAGCCACTGATAAAATCCTGGCCAACTGCCTAAATAAATCCCCAGAAGAATTAAGATTAGAATTTAATTAACGTACTCTTCGAATGCGCAATAAGAAACCTAAAACCGAAATCAACTGAGAAATATTTACAGGGCGGCTTTTTTTCTTTAATGTGCGAAAGGTCGTAGCTTTGTTATCGGATAAGTTCAAGATCTGGGTGCTATATCAATATAGGCTATAATTAGTTTCCTGTTGTGGGAGCAGGTCACATCAATTAATTGAATCGAATACTCTTTGTGGTTGCGCAAGCAAACAAATAGCGGAAAAATACATGATAATAAAATAAAAAGAAAGCAAGCTGCCGGACAGAGGAGACAAATATTTATTTGGTTTATTGCAATATATTGATGATTTAAGGTAACTCCAAATGAGCTTGCACAGCTGCTGCTGAGCTGTGGAGCTGTAGAGCTTGGGTGCTCTGGGGTGCTCCTCACAGACCTTTTCAAGTAAGAATTATTTTAAATGGAATCATAAAATGGGGAGCACTTGCCCATAAATTGTGTCACTTTCAAAGAGAGTTGCTCGAAATAATTGCAAAATAATTTTTTATGAATTTTTTTTTATAGTTCGTTTGCTTTTGTGCAAGGTTTAGTATTAGTATGCATATAAAAATGAGTTATAATACCTGGATTATGTGTCATCTGATCGCAGGCACTTGAAGCTTTCTCTCCTCTCCTTTCCGTTTCTAACCTCTCCTATACTTTTCCAGGGCCACTATCGATACTGTGGAGGACCAGGACTGTCCCTCTCTGGCCAATGCTTCATACATGCAGCATTCCCAGCTTATACAGACACTGACCCATGTCTGCCGCTATGATCGGTTAGAGCGACCCATTGGTAAGGATCTGGCATGCACCTAAAGTTAGAGAATCCATCATCATAAAGGTTTTACCCCCAGAATACGACAGTGACGCCAAACGGCTACCCATTGTGGTGAAGACACGCATCTATGTGTACTTCCTGCAGAATTTAAACTCGGATCTGTTGCAGTTCAAGATGCACGCCCTGCTGCAGCTCAGGTTCCAGGACAAGCGACTGGCCTACAAGGCCTTCCAGAGAGATGACAATATTCTGGGCCAGAAGCATCTGAGCGAACGCCTGTGGCTGCCGCACATCTTCTTTGCCAATGAACGAGAGTCCAGCATTCTGGGCACAGACGAGAAGGATGTGCTGACCTCGTTGTCACCAGAGGGGAATGTCATCCTATCCACGCGCATGCAGGCCTCACTGTATTGCTGGATGAACTTCAAGAAATTCCCGTTTGACCAGCAGCTCTGCTCCACAGTTATAGAGAGCTGTAAGCAAAACCATTTGTCATAAAACCATATACCTATATATAAAACGATTTCTTGATCGTTCAGGGATGTACAATACCTCGGATCTGGTTCTCGAATGGGAGGAGCGCTCGCCCATCTCTTTTGATCCGGAAATGCGACTTACAGAGTACAACATGGAAAAGTTCTGGCACAACACAACCATCGTGCACTCGGATGAAATCAATCTACGTCACGGTGCATTTCGTAAGAGCTATTAAAATGAAGTTTTTATTAAGATATTACTAAATTCATAATCTTTTTTTAGTGGGTGACTACAGTTCTCTGAGCTTTACTGTGAATTTGAGGCGTGAAATTGGTTTCTATTTGCTGGACTACTATCTCCCCTCCATGATGATTGTGGCCATATCGTGGGTGTCCTTCTGGCTTCAGGCAGATGCCTCCCCGCCGCGCATCATGTTAGGTAAGTCAGCTGAATCTTAACTATTAGGGAAATACTTCTTATAAATGATTGCTTCTTGCACAGGAACCAGCACCATGTTGTCGTTCATCACGTTGTCGTCATCGCAGAGTAAAAACCTGCCAAAGGTTAGCTACATCAAGGTGTCGGAGGTTTGGTTTCTGGGCTGTACCTTCTTCATTTTTGGAAGCCTGGTGGAGTTCGCCTTCGTCAATACGATCTGGCGTCGCAAGGAGAATATCGAGCTGAAGAAGGTCAACAGCAAATACATCATCAAGTCTACACTCACGCCACGCCCATCGCGTCGTCAGATGGGCGGCAGTCTCAGCAACGATTCCAGAGCCAGATCATGCTCGAGCCTGGACAATATCGTTTCCAGCACAGAGAGCGTTCGCAATGGCAATGGCAATGTAAATCATGGCTATAACAATTACCTAACAGTTCATGTGAGTATGAAATAAAGACCAATCGAAGTGTGCTGTGTGCTAATCCTTGCACTCCTTATCACTACAGCCAAATCTGCCCATCATTAAGACCGAGTGTGCCGACAATGTGTCCATATCTAGTGAGCGGATGAGCAATGAGCATATAATTGACATCGACAAAGAAAAGAAGGAGACGCCGCCCACATTTACAACCATGACACCGCAGGAGATTGCCATGTGGATAGATCGGCGATCGCGTTTCCTCTTTCCAGTGATGTTTCTGGCCTTCAATGCGCTCTACTGGACCTTTGTCTATGTTTTATAAACGAGAGAGAGATATTCAAAGAAGGAATATTGTTATTGTACATATGTATACAACGCAATTGTTGCCATATAAATGTGAAATCTTGTCTATTTGTGTTGCTCTTTTTTACGCAAATAATTATACTAATTATGTTGTAAGATGCATCATCTCATAGTTGTACAAATACTGATCATAAATATATATACTATATACACATAAATTACATTTTTGTAAACAATTAGAATACCAATGCATGAAAGAATTTTACTTTTATTTTTATTTTACTTGAGAATTATAAATAAAGCTTGAAGTATTAGTCATAATCTTCATGATATCATCAAGTAATATATTTTATTTTTACTTCACGTCTTTTCTTTGATATATTCCATACAAATTATATAATTTTAGCAACTCCAAAATTTTTTTATAAAAATATATTTCTGGTTGTTTTGATAACCACCAACAGATGGCGCCGCGCATGTTACATGTCAAATGTAAAATTATCAACCGTGTTTTTGTCAAAACAAAAAACATGCAAGTACTTAAAAGTAGTTAATCCTGATTAGAATTGTTTCAGCAATCATTTAAAACTATCTGGGCAAAATTGAGAGATCTATGTAGCTGGGAATATTCGACGGAAGAAAGAATAACCAGGAATTAGTCGTCATTGCGACTGTTTTTTTTGTTGAACTATTTTGTTTAAACCTTGCTTTAGTCAAAATACAATAAAAGCAAGGACTACAAACTAGCCAGCTAAGTAGAAAATTGATTCATCAATGGGCTTAAATTACGTGGGCATGGCTAAATGTTCTATATAGCTAGTAATATTCGTCGGAATATCAAAAACGAGGAATATGTAAAACAGAACTTGAACTCGTCAGTATATATACGGTATATTTTTAAAATGATACAGTATATTTTGGTACATTTCTGATGGCATATTTTATCGATAAGTCTGCGGTCACACTGCCAAAGACGGACGTCTTGCGTTGAAAAATCAAAAATCATCAAAATCAAGGTAAAATTTGGCGTCATAATTTTCCCAAGTGGCAGGTGCTGGGCTCTATAAATATGCATAATTATTTTGGTGCCAAAAGTGCAGCGATCGAGCCCTGCGAGCAGACGTTCTCAGCCGCAGTCTGGTTCGGCGACGTAGTGAAAAAATTACATAACCTCTGGGGCCAAGAGTGCTAGTGCATAATGTTTATAATAACCATTTGTGTCTTCATCCAGATACTGGTTAACTTTTTGTGTTGTTGCTAAAGTAGTCTCCTTCTTCCCCCAGCTTGAAATATGCGTCTGTCGTCGATTTTGAACGGAGCCCACTTCGGCAACCTTGCCAAGGTGCACGGCATTATCACCTACAAGCTGTCGCCCTTCGAGCAGCGCGCTTTTGCCGGTGCCATCAGCAATGGAGTGCCCAACATGATCCGTCGTTTCCGCTCCAATGTCTTTATTGTGGCTCCACGTAAGTATAATCCTCAAATTCTTGTTGGCAAACATAAAACCGTTGTTGGATTGCAGCTTTCCTCATTGGATACATGATCTACGATCTGACCGAGCGTAAGCACACCGCTCTGCTGCGCAAGAACCCCGCTGACTATGAGAACGACCAATAAGCAGGGATTTTATTGTTCGTCTCCACACATTAGCAAATAGTTATGTTAAACTAATTAATAAAACTAAACCCACAGTTCAAGAGAGTTGTGTGTTTTGGTTGCGCCTCCCTGCTAAAAACGTATTTTTATACGGTTATAAATTGATAAAGGTCACTTGGTGGTCTATTTCCCCTCCGTTGACATTGTAAATCAGCTTAAATTGCTGAGAATATAGGATATAAAAGAATTTGTATTTAAAACAGACGACAGCAGCTGTTCACAAATTAACCCATTAAGGGCCGTTGGGCATTTAAATACCCATGAAAACGATTAAATTTGAAGAATTGGAGCGCAAGCCAGGTGAAAGAAGTTGGAGTAAACAGGAGTGGTCTACAATGAGAATCCAGAATTGACAACAGTAACACTGTTTTCTATCAACTACTTATATAAAAATCGTCTAGGAGCGGCTCCGAATGGGTTAATAGGCCAGAGCGTTGCCACATAATTCAGCTCTCTGCTCTCGCTTTCCAGCACTGTCAGCTGTTCGCAAACAAAAAAGTGTGAAGCGGATCAATAGTTTTAAACATTTAGATTTACTGAATATTAGTTACTTTATGGACTGCTGTGGCGGCGAAGTACGCAACGAAAGCATCTACAACATGCTCCAGGCCATCGTCGACTCCAAAGTGATCAACGTGCAGTTGTTTACGATTGCCGTGGGCATTTTTTTTGTTGTGCTGCTGCTGAAGAACAATTTCCGCAGCTTTTCGGGCACATAAACACTCCAAACTGGAAGTAGATGGATATTCTACCTAGATGTTCTGCTGGCTGCCGCGATGTAGTGTTTAATTTATATAATAATGTAATGTACGCATTGTAGCTAAGTATTTAATAATAATTGTCTCAAGCGGACCCCAGATTTTGTTTTGCAGTTCAAAGGGTGGCAGATTTTGGTGGAGAACCTTGGCGACGTGACGTCACACTCCGCGTGCCCGTATTTGTGTAACCAAATGTGTACATATTCATGCGTGTTCTCTCAGGGTCATCGTTCTGGGCCGATATAATGCATAATAATTGTATTCGAAGGCCAACTGGACTGGTTTGACTACCCGAAATTTCTATGGGATATGCTAAAACCACTCCCCACCGAAAAACCACTCGTAAGCACTCGACAAATTGTCAATTTCATCATTAGGTGGAGGCGGGTGATTCATGGCACTTCTGATTCTGATTCTTTTTCTAATGATAAGATTTCTTATGGAAATCCTAGATGTGAGACATCACTGATACGATACCTTTAATTAGATAGATTCTGGTGAACTTTTGGCCCAATTCTTACCTACAACGCCATTCAACGATGACCAATCAATCCCAATTGCTGGCCACAAATAGATTCAATTGACCAGCGATTGATTGTCCATTCCATGGTGTGTGCACGCACTTCCTGGTGCAGCAATCGGCATTAGAATTCAATAGAGGCCCTAAGACATCACATTTACCAGTATGTATGTATGCCTGCGGGAAAAAGAGTGTCATTGGGAGCATTTGTGTGATTTATGGGACGTGCTTTTATGCACAAATTTTGCATTAGGATACCCGGACCCATGCATTTCTAAGAATGGAAAGAAAACGTGACCTGCTTACGGGCCAGGCATTGCATAAGGAAAACCAAACCTTTTTGTAGGGATTATGTCTGGCGCCGCAGCAAAAAAGTTTCGGATCTAAGCAACCAAAATCGAAGCGCCGTTATGCGAGACCCTATATCATATTTTTGCAGACGGATTATCCAACATGTTTTTGTCGCTTTTGATTTTGGATTGTTAGTGCAATAACCGTATAAGGTTCGTCTCCCAGCCTTCTCAACTGCTGAATGCATTGCTCAAAGCTGCTTGTCAATGAACTTGAAAAACTGAAAATTCCCAGAACTCGGACAGCCGAAATGCTGACGAAAGTTCCGCCCCGGTTCCGCCATGAATGGTATAACAAAAGCCAGACAATATGATCCCCTGAACGTTTATATAAATTGATTTAATTACAACGCAATTTCGGGCTGTTACCTATTCGTGGAAAGAAGAAACGCTATAGTCGAGCAATTGGTATCAGAAATATGAATACCAAGACACATGTCAATCAGATCGATCCTGATTGTTTACCCTTCATCCTAAGCGCCGCCGCCAGGCTGCAGAAATCCACGGACCTTAGCTTATGCTTCAGCGGAGCTCTGATGTTGTCTAGCTTTTTGTACTTTTCGACCAACAGAGATCCCTGGGGTTCTGTTTCCGACTCTGCTGTCACATCCGTTGGCTCGGACGTTGGCTTGGGTGTGGGGGTGGTAGTGTGGCACTTCTTATGGTGAGACTCCGACTTCTGATGCCCCTGCAAATCCTCGACAATGACGGTTCTCTTCGAGTTCTGGGCCTCGTAGTGGGCAATGATGAAGTCGCGACGTTCCAGTCTGGCCTTAAGAACGGCCACACTATCCTTAAGTTTGTCCACCTGCTTGACCTGCTCCTTAATGCTGCGCATTCCGTGGTACACCTTGTTTAGTTCCCTTTCCGCGAGCTTGGCGCTCTTCTTGAGGTCAACCATCCTGCTCTCGTACTGAGCAGGCATCAGTTTGATCTGCTCCTCCAGATAGGATATGTACTGGTTCTGTTCGTGGTTTTCTCTCTCTAAAATCTTTATACGTTTCTTTAGCTTCAGAGACTCGTCCGAGAAGCTGCCGCTGCCTGCCTGCTGCCGCACGCGTGCCGCATACTTCCGGCTAATGTCATTCTGATCTACCCTCGCCGACGCCAGTTCCCGCCGTAGAATTGCCACTTGCTGCTCCAGGCGCTTTTTGATGGTGCACGGGCTGTTCTTGGTTTTGGCCATGGTGACAAAATGCTTTAACTGGAAATTTGGAAACGCTCTATCAATTCGGACAAATATCAAGCATAAAATTTTGTATCCGAGATATATTCTACATGTGATTTAGTACATATGTGTATTTCTGAAGAAGCAAAAATGTCCACTACGAACAATCAAATATTTCAATGTGATTGCTCAAATCTAGGCAACATGATAGAGAAAGATTACTCCAAATGTTGTCTTTTCATCATTCAATGGAGCTGTTCCGATTTGTATGGATAGTTTTCAGTCGTTGAAAGGAAAGACGTGACACCTATCCGCCTCGTCAACCATTCGATTCTGGGGACTAAAGCTGAACGGCTTAGCTTTAAATGGCATTGACGAACAGACGAAGAATTGAAATGCCACGTGTGCCCTCTAGAACAGCTTTTTGGTGCCTCATGCAACATCTTGGTATAGATCTTCCTTTCAGTTTAAGGTAGACATCCTGGGCTCCAATTCAATCAAAATTATGTGAAAAGTGAAACAAATTAAGTACTCCTTATCTTTCCATATACATATACATTGATATGGCTACCTTTTAAACTAATTTCCGTAATTTGTAAATCAATAAAAATTCCACATTTTATCCACACACACACATATCCGGGAATGACTACAATTTGATCAGACTGTTAAATTTGCATCACAGCCCAGAGCTCAGAATGTATGTACATGCTCGTGTGTATGTGTCTGTGTGTTTGTGTTTGTGTGGGTTGTACCGAATTTAGGCATGCCACGCCCAATACGCTGCCGGTGGCCAGAGGTGCACAATGCAAACAACCACACAGTGTAACGCACAAACTGATTTTCGGGCATTTTTCAGTTGTTGTTTATACCCTGTCTTCGAAGAGTGTTATGGTCCAGGATGCATGCCAGTGGGTAATGCTTCCTTGAGCTCCTATTTCCGAGATACTATAGCCTCACCATCATATCATGTATTGTAAAAAGTTCAAGTATTTTATGTATGTATTTAAATCCAATGTCCAAAAGGGTATTATGGATTCGGCGGCTCTCGAGGCTGATCCTTCTTTCTTTTTGGTTTTCTTCTTGTTTGTGAAACATAATTTGTATTTTTCACTTCGCGATGCCGCACACTTGATAAGGGTTATCTGAGTCTGATCATTTTGCGGATTTCTTCCCTCTTTCATGGATCGTTTTCGCAAAGTTGTAATTCATTTGGCGGCGGTTTTGGTTTCGGATATCCATAAAGATTCCTGGCGATCCAGGAAATGATATTTGTATACATACATGTATGTATGTCTATGGTTCTTAGGGTGCAGACAAACACTTAAAATATGGAAGATATATCCCATCCCAAGCATAAATATCCCATACACAAAGTACATTTATCATGCCACACATTGTTTCCCCCATTTCATTAGATTCAAAGTCCTTCCTTCCACACAATGCCAAGGTCTCACTTCTTGATCTTCTCCCCTCGCATGTCATCATCGTTCTGCGTTTGTATATTTTTTTTATTTTAATATGACAAAGTTGTTCTGTTCCCACTTATGCAATTTCCATAAATTCAAGGTCAGCCGTACAATAAAAGTCCAGACAACAGATACTCTCACACACACACACACACACACACACACTGGCTCACAAACAGATGTCTGTCTGGCCACTTTTTTCGGCACCCCAGCCAGCCGCAAGATACAGCCACATCCCCAGCCCCAGCCCCAGCCCCGATTGGAGATGGATGGCTGATGGGTGTGCAAAAAGTTCTAAGCAAATTTTCAACAAAGATGGGCAACAATGTTCCAAGCGCCATGCCACGTAGATATCGCATTACAGAGTTTTGGAATTAAAATTTGAGAAATAATGCCATCAAGAATGTGGGAAAGATAATCGGCTTACAGTTTCCAATAACGGAAGTTCTTTTAAGTCTCATCTCCCGTCAAAATCTACCATTTAGATATTTATTTAAACAGATCATCTTATCATCTATAGGAATGTAGATTTCTTGAATCGAAATATTTTTTTTTTTTTTAATGCAAAATTTTCTAGTTCTAATACTTTTCTGCACCCATATTCACTAAACAATATTTCACTACAGATTTTTCGCTATATGTACATATATGGATACACACATCACCAAAATATAAAGCCTCTACCGATACCATACCCCTTTCGCACATGCCGTGATATCAATGATATCAAAAATGCGAAATCAAAACAAAGAACCCGAATTTAGCAAGCAACCCAAAAAAAGGGCAAAAACTTGACTAACGTCTAACCCAAATACAACAAAAGGACCACAAAAGACACAAAAGGCAGACAGAAGGCAGACAAGACAGACCAGACCCAGACTCAGACCCCAAGGGAAGGGAGATATCTGGGGCACAGGACGGACAGAGACGGACCCAATCAAAAAACTCTTTCGCAGCGTAGACATGAGCTAGACGAAACCCGAGATCCGAGACACAGTGCTGTGCCATGATAAATGGAATGAGGGGTAAGGAGATCCGGGAGAGTAGGCTGTCAAGTGCTCCAGCAGAGTCCAAGTAGACAGAACAGAACAGAACAGAACAGAACTCTTCTTCTAACCCAAGCGAATCTGAGTTTCCCCGAATTTCAGCTGTTATGTATATCAATTCCAGTTTAATTGCATTTAATTTGATCTGCAGACATCAAAAACGAGTTTTATTGTCTTTTTTTGGCTGTTTCGGTTATTTGTGCAGTTTGATTCAATTTATTTCGCAGACTGGATAGACAGAGAGTGAGTTAATAAAGGGCGGGGTGTAAAACATATTGCGCATTGGCGATATTTTAACAATTTAGAGACCCCCAAACACTGAAATCAAATGCAGTTGGAAGTGATTTTACTTGGGGAAAGTAAGACTAGAGACCAAAGTACTTAGAAGAAAAACCTTTCCTCAAATGCTATATGCAAATTGCAAAAACCCATGTCAAAAAATATGAAAAACTGTTAGGTATGGCAATACTTTTGTACGCCTAATTTTAGACATTTATTCGCTTAAAATTTTTTTTAAAAGAATCCAATCTTATAGAAAATTGATTAATTTAAAAGCACTACACTGGAGTTGTATTGCTGTGACAATACATAAGTTCGTCAATATGTACGTACAGTCGAACTTCTTTATGGCGAATATCTAGGGGAATTCGTTGTACGGAAAATTCGAAGCATTGCAGTGATCTGAAAATAAATTCGATGTGTAGAAAACTTCGTTGTACGGCAGTTCGTAATAGAGAAGTTCGACTGTATACATATATAAACTCTGCATTGTATCTGCATTCTACTTGTTTTGGTATCAGTATCTTAGTTTTTGCGCATGTTGGCACAGTTTTTAGGGAGCTTACTTCCCCCAATCCATCAATAAATAAAATTTTCCTACATTGAACACTTGCGCATAAATCTGCTCTGCAGAGCAATCAACATAAAGCCGATTTAAAACGGGAACCAGAATAAGATATGAAATATGCAACAGGCCAACAGACCAACAGAACAACAGACAGCACCCGCCCATATTCCAGTCGAAAATTTGTTTTGCTAATTCTACGTGTTTTGACGACAAATTTCATTCAAAAAACGAGCACAGACATCCGCTCCGCTCCGGACTAAGTGCAAATCACATGTTATATACCATATAAAAAGATATTTTATGCATGTATATTGCCTGTTTGTATAGAGGGAAAACTCAACGATGTCCTAAGATAAGTAATCAAAAAAAAAGGAAAAATATTTAAAAAACATAACTCAAAAAAAAATGCAAACTTTAATTTCCGACAAGGAACACTTGGTCCACGCGACTCCTTCTCCGACTTTGGACCCCGCGACTCCTTCTCCATTTTTGACTCTGAGTTATTAAAAGTTTCAGAAATACACAGATACACTGAGGAACACACAAACACACGGAAAGTTTGTTATGTTGCGCAGGCGCAGCCCAGCAACGCCCTCAAATGGACTGGGACTTTGGCTGGGCCTGGGCCTGGGCCTGGTTCTGGGCCTGGAACTCCGACTTGGACTCAGACCATCCAAAAATGTTATTGACCCGTTCCAGCGATCCGTTAGCGAGCCTGGCCCGGCCGCAGACCCGCACAAATTCTTATTAAGATCAATCAGCTAAATGTCGGTTTTATGCTTAATGCTCATGATTCACACGAGCAAAAAGCGCAAAAATCGAAAATGCATATGGCAGCGCACGCCCTAAAAGGAATCAGTCCTTAGCCAAGGTATCTGACCAAGGGATGGATACCCTTCCCAGGGGACTTAGAGTGGAATTCGAGAGTTGGCTTTACATCGATTTTTGGGGAATGCGGTGCTTACAAGCTAGAAGCAGGAATATTGAGTACCATAACAAGCTTCTCCAGAAAGTAAAATAGCCCATCTAAAAGTAAATCGAACCCCCTAAAGCATGTCCCAAAAAACTGCACATATGTACACACACACATATGTATATGCATAAAAATATAAACGTACATACACATATATGTATGTATGTATGTCTGTGCAGTTTTTGGCAGCCTTTACAAAGTTGTCGGCACGTTTTAATGCTGAGAATTTGTGATGTTTTTGCTCTCAGTTCTCTTATTTTTTTTGGTTACTTAATTAGTCATGGCGGGCCAGGCCCTAACGATGGAGGGGGGGTAGAACACTGCTTTATATGCATATTGAATGGCATACTGCATTCAATCTGGGGAGGGGGAGGAGAAGGCGGTTGGAGATGCCTATGTGGTACATCATATAGGGGCTCTTATCACAATTGACACACATTAGAGGAGGGAGAGAGAGCCGATAACAGAGCTGTGCAGCTCAGACATGCTCCAGTCTGATCTGCTCGGCTCGGTTCAAGCTACTTCGATTCATCAGCGTACTTCCTGCTTTGCACTCCAATCAAATTATGATTTTTAGTGCAGCCCTTGTGGAGCCCTTGTTAAATCCAGAAAATATTTATGTAATGTTCCATCTGTAGTCAGGTTATTTATAAAGTATATATTGTTCCTCCGCTCAGGAAAAGTCTATCTCATATCCAGTTTTCCCTGAAATTATGCAGAAAACATGCGTACTCTGGAATCTCTTTTTTTTAGACCCACACTACAGCTATGTGTGTTCTTTCAACAGAGTTTCCACTGTATCTGTCTGTCTATAAAATATATGTACATATGAATATAGGTATATATATGTATATATGTTATACTGTTGGTATATTTGTTCAGACAACAGTGAGGCGATAAGCCCAGCGATGTTGTCAATACAACAAACAATGCAGCACCAAAATTTTTGGAATTTCTTCTTCCTCTTTGTCCGTTATTTACACGACATTTGTTTACCAACTGAAAAATTACACAGTTACACAAACACACACACACACACACAGATACCACTCACACACTAGCAGACATATGTACATCATCAGCTGTTTTTTATTTCTTACACATCCGTCCCGTAGGCCCCAGCAGGGGTTCATCTCTGGGGGTTATCATTATCAGCATCCAACCCAAGTGCAATCCAACTATGTAGAATTGGTTACAAAAACTGAAACAGAAAAAGTTCAATGCACATTTCGAGGTGAGTTTGTTGCTTGATTTTCTGAATTTAATTACGTGTTTAACTTGTTTTCGAATCGAACGTAACATGTCACGTAATTAACCGGCTGGCGGCAGCGGCAGCGGCAGCGGCAGTCTACTTTTCCCCTATCGATTGGATTTTGGCCAAAATAATATCTAATAGTTATTGGCCGATCAATGTTACTGTATTGCACTCAATTTTGTTTGATTATTGCGTTGCCATACATGGACAGCTACATATATAGTTACATATGCAGTATATATCTACATATGTATGCACAATATGTGTGGGACTGTCTGTCTATCTATCGGACTGACTGCTAGACGGCCTTGCGCCCAATCTGTAATTGATATACACAGATACTTTCATGCCCTGAATGTTCGTTAATAAATGCAGCCATCGTTTTTGCATACAATTTTGGAATTGTGCATAATTGAAGAAGCAACAATAGAGGAATATCTTTATTGATTTAGTTGGCACTCTTACAAAATTTCACTCTTAAATTTATATTATTATAAATTTATTTATTTTAAATATAATTTTATACTAACAGTAAAATGTAAGTTAAGAAACTTTCTTTTTACAATTTGCAATCAATTTACTATTGATATGCATTTTCAAATCTATAGTGTAGTGTAACAAAAGCATTAAGGATACAATTAAAAAGCTTGGGAGGTGGAACACAACACCTGTTCAGTTTACCCATAAAATGTCAATCAATGAAAACTACTATCTACTTCGGATTAAGGTCCCACAGAAGAGCCCTCATTCCTCCCACCCAGTCGTCCACGCTTATGTACATATATCTATCTAATACTCGTACTACTCCTCCGCCTCACAGCCAAGGAGCACACCAACAACCCCCTTAACAGTGGCCAGTGGCACTCAGTGCCTCTTCTTTAACAGAGCGTGGTCAACAGTGGAAGAGAGCGCCAAGCAGCCCCAAAAGGCAGCGCTGCCAAAAGCTTACGCCAACAGCGAAGTCAGCGTCGTGGACTGAAGCGCCAGCTGGTTGACGAAAGAAAAAAGTTTTCGGCTGTTTTCAGTCCGTTGGGGCGATTCGTATTGGAAGAGTGTGACCGTGTGCGGACGAAACTGTATAAGCAGAGCAGCGTGTGTGCGAGTGTGTGTATCTGTGTGTGCGTACATAAATATCTCGTAGATATATTTGTGCCGTTTGCGAGAGCGAGAGAGAGAGAGGGAGAGGGAGGGAGAAATTAACGAATGCAAATAAATTGGGAAAATAAAGCAAATAAATGCCGAATATGTACGAATAACTAATACTACCTTTTTTTTTGGACCAACAAAATTCTCCTAAATCATCCGCAAAATACAAAACACACAGAGAGTGGATAGAGAGCCACAGGCAGAGAAAGAGAGAGCAGTGTTCAGAGCAGAGAAGAGCTCCAAGCAGAGAAAGAGAGCTATACAGAGAAAGAGAAAAAAACAACACAACATTGATAACAGTGGTGTCAAGGTGTATTTATACAAGGTTGGGCATGGCATCTATCTGTTCTACTATTATTATATGTATGGCATCAGACAAATATTTAATAAATATTAATATGAATAAATGTGGGTATGTTTATGCATCACCTTGTGTGGAAAACACCTTGCACAGCCCAAGAAGAGAGAGAGTGCAGCGTAGATAGAGATTCACTCTCGCTGCAAGCGGCAGCGCCGTTCTAATTGCAGCGCTAACATTGCGTGCGCGTCGCTGCCGGCTTCAACGCCGGCGTCTGCTGCGCTGCTATCTGCCTGCCGATCGTGTGTGTGTGTGTGTGTGTGCGTGTGTGTGTATCTTCGAGGCACACATGAGCCGCCGCAAGTGCATCTGTATGTGTGTGCATGTGTATCTGTGTATCTTCTTGTCTGTTTCTGTCGTATAAATTGAGCCGCACTTTGTATTCTTCGTGTTTTTTGCCCAGACGTCGATGTAAGCGAACGCGTCGCTCGTTTCGGTTTCGGTTCCGTTTCGGTTTCCAAATAATTTTCATAACCACTTAAAAGATACAGAAATTCTTTGCAAAACTATCTGAAAGATACATCAAAGATAAAACCCAGTTTAACAATTTTCGAATGCATATTTGGTCTTTTTTTTAAGTGCAAATTCCTCCTTCCAGTGAGTGTTGCTTACGAAAATTCCTTATTCGAAATTAAAGATGTTTAAAATCGATGTCTAACAAATTCTCAATTGGCTGTCGTGTGAATGTTTCTTCTTCTTTTTTTTATCTATCTGTACACGCGTATATACAAATACAGAAATACAGAATTTAATTTTGTCTATTATGTGTGCAATTATTAAATAAATATACGGCCTCCCTCCAATAAAATATTTTGGTGTGTGAAAAAACAAAAAAAATATACAGGAAAAAAGTGCGGGGCAGAGCGGAGAAGCCAGAGCCAGCCACAAATTAAACGCGTAAATTGCGTGGCAAATTCTGAATGAAAAAATAACAGAAACAGAGCCCGTGTCCGTGTCCGAGTCCGAGTCCGAGTCCGAGGAACGGAGAGCGAGAAGAGAATCAGAATCAGACGAGTTAGGCGTAAGTACAGCTTAAATAAATATATTTATATTTAAGTATCAACTCATCTAAAAAACTATCTGAATGTTGAGTGAATATATATAAATCTGTATAGATATTATAGATCATATAGGTAGTTTACCATTCTATCAATACAATTACACATCTTCTCAATAACTTAAACATCCAAAAAATATCCATGGAATGACCTGATTTTATTTTTTTCTTTCTTTTTTGTGGGCACTGAAATTTCCCTTTTTAATGAAGCCCCAAAGAAATGAAAACCAAAATAATTCTTTCAGTCAAAAATATGTCTATGCATTCATCTTCTTTGGTTCTCTTCTCCCTTGGTTGTATTGTATTTTGGTATTTTCGGAGTGCTCTTCGCAGGCGCCAGAGAAAGTGAAACACGGATCGGACGGCCTACAAAAATTATATGCTATATTGGGTGAAATTTCTTAAGTGTTCCCCAAAAAAAAATGAATGCTGTGGCAGCTGAAGGGAGTGGAGGGGATGGGCAATCAGAAAGCGCACAAAATACACAGGAAAATAATGATAAGAAACGAAAGACGAAACGAAAAAAATCGAAACCAAAAAGAACATGGAATACATTCCATTTCTGTCCGTCTCTGTCTGTTGTCTTCATCTCTGTCTCTGTCTCTGTCTCTCTCCTCTCCCTTTGTAATTACATGCCGTAAAACCAAAATAAATACGCACAGATAAAAAAGATACACAGATGCAGATGCAGACACAGATACAAGCGGTTGGGCGGGCCCCAGCGTTGTCCTCTTCTTCTGCGCGGTCTGCCTGGCGAAATGCATTAAAATAAATGCCCGTACGGGATCGGTCCACGCATTCCCATGAGGAAACAACAATGCAATGCGCACAACCAGAACAACAATCAATAAACGTTGTTTAATCAAATGTAAATGTTTATACCGCAACCCAGAAAACTCCGATCCGATGCAGAAACGGAGAGAGTTTCACTTTTGTACCTCAATTATAAGAGTAGAGTGTTTGTTCTGGCCAGAAACAGAAACCAAAAACCAAAAACCAAAAACCAGAATGGAACAGAAAACATTGTCTTCCATCTGACCCACATCGGGTTCGTTATCACTGATTTTTATTATCCATTTACTCGTACTCTTGTACCCGTGGTACTACAGTGTATTGAATGCGTACACATCTTTAGAGTCATGAATTTTGGGATTTCTGTCATCTGAAAGTGACAGAGAAAATACTCGTTCTGAAATGAATGGGGAAATATGTTTACATATAAATGATATTTGTATCCTCAACTTCAATGCAATTAATACCTCAATATCTGAAGCAACTCTTAACCAAAAGTTTCCATTGGTACACCCAGAGAAATGGAAATGAAATGTGAATATTTAGCCTTGGATATATGCCAATAGATCCACTCCGAAAGTGAAAATTGTAAAAAGAAAGTGGTTTTCACTTACATTTTGATATATGAATATTGAAATATTTCAAATTTTATTTAAAAATATTTCATGACATATAATTTAATACATTATATATATCTTAAAGTTTTTTATATTTCGATTAAAAATGGGCCAGATTAAAAAGAATTTGTAATACATTTGTGTTTATATCAGAGTAAATTCTATTTAATTTCATTATGTTTTTATTTCAAAACCGAATATTTCATTTCACTATAAGTGTGTATTTCTTTTTGGCATGCCATTTTTCTCTGAGTGTATGGATTCTTAAATCCCAAATGCCATTTCCGCTGCTTCTCCCTTTTCTGTGTCTGTTTCTGTCTCGATCAATAAATGATCAATGGCCCAAAGCCATTCGGTTTCGGGCAAAACTCATTTCATTTTGTTTTCTGTCTCCGCTCTTGGTTTTTTTTATTGTAGGTATGGGGCAAAGCAACAGCCTAAAAAAAACTACAGAATTCACCTGTAATAACGTCGCAGAAAAAGGTCCAAAAATGAAAAAGGCAGACAAAAACAAGAATACTGAGTAGAACAGAAACAGCAGCAGTTGAAGAAGACTGCCAGAGAGAAAGAGAGAGAGAGAGAGAACGCGAACCCGAAATCAGAAAACCAGAAAACCAGATTTCCTACTAATTTAAATTCTTGGCATACAAAAAATATTCTAAAAAACAACAAAAAAAAAACATGAAAAAAGAAAATAAAATGAGTTTCGTGTATTGATTAACGAAACGAAGCGAAAAATGTTTTTTATTGGCAAAATATTGGCAGAGGCAAGAGTTCCTCGTATATAGTACCGTACCTCTCCCTAAATGCTCCACTGATGGGTTTCCGGCGCTTCCTTTGCGCTGGCTTTGTCTCTGATGGATTGACATGTTGCTGTTTCTGTTTAGCGGCTAAAAGCAAATTTCTTCATGCTATGAAAAATAATACCAAAAAATTCTATACACAAAGAAGATATCCATATATGTATACATACATATATACGTATATCCAGAAATCCAGAATTCACATTTCTTATAGAATTTCCTTTTCTTTTCGAGCACGTGTAAAGTTGTTTACTGAATCAAGCGGATCTATAGATACACACTCGTATGTATATTATGGGATGGTGTCTATCGTATGTATTTGGCATTATGCTAATCAACTGAAGAAACAAATACACTCCCCGCTCAACAAAAAATCATCATTAATTATGCATTTACTCGTATGCGAGGCGTCTGACTGCTGGCTGTGACCACATTTGATATGAAAACCTCGATTCACATTTTCGAGAAACTGAAAGTTGGCCTAAAAACATAGTTAGGAATTGCCCCTGGGCCGGGCCGTGCATGTGTATCTATTGGATTGGGATGGGGTTGGGGTTGCGGTCTGTGTCGTGCCCATCGTTTCATCCAGATGTGATTTGTCAATTAAAAAAATAAGATCTGATAATAGAATATAATGGAGCACGTGCTAGAGAGGTGAAGGAATATCCCCTGTTCCGTTTAACACAGATCAAATAGGATTATAAGCACTCCCAAAGGTAAAAGTACAACAGGATATATCTTGGTTTTAAATTAAATTTTTAAGGAATTAAGAGCCGTCTGTCTATTGTATATTTTAACCGAAAGTCTGTTAAAGTTCTTACGCTTTCTCAGACCTCTTATGGAGACCCCATTCCGCAATGCCAGTCATGAATATATATCACGCATTCTCTATGGACACGCCCTCACTTGAAACATATCTAGATTGGGGCCTGGGACTGGGACTGGGACTTGGACTGTGACTGTGACTGGCAACAGTTTGAGAACGATTAACAAACCACAAGAGTCGCACTTGACTTGCTCAAAGCTAAGATGACATACAAAAGAAGATCACTCAAAGGCAAGCCTAGAGTAGCTGGAAGGCAGAGCCAGAGCTAGAGACAGAAGTGCCAGAAATCTCCGAGAGGAAGGCGATGGGATTCATGCATGGATCATCAGCATCATCAACGGGGGCCGTACAATTACCGCACTGTAAATACTACGCAGCATCCGCAATAACAAAATGTAAACGAGCTGCGTGCAAAATCGAACAAAAACCGAGGCATTTCTCTATAGATACAGATACAGATACAGATACACAGCGCACTCACACACGTATACAGACAAAAAGCGAGTCTCCAGCTTGACAGGCCCCATGGTATGGTCTGGTCCCCCTTCATCTCTGCTCCTCCTCTCCACTGAGCGACGACTCATCTGGAAGCTTGTTTTGTGCTGCGTTGCGCGTCTTTAGCAAGTGATTTCAATTTAATTGACAGTCCTTGAACTTGACTTAAGCGCAACGCATAACACAAACAGCAATAACAATAAAAGCAGCCACAGAACAGCCTCTTCTCCACTCTCGATTCTCGATTCTCTATGTTCTTGGTTCTCCATTACCGTAGAAGTAGAACTCCTCTCGACTGAGACTGAGACTGATACTGAGACTGAGACAAGAATTGTTGTATTTCCTCTTTTTGGTCTTTTCTTAATAAATTTGTATGTATTTATGAAATGCTTTGAATGATTTATGTGTAAAATATATTATGCAATTGTAATATATTATTAACTTACATATTTGTTCATTAAAGAAATTAAAAAAAAAACTTCTAAGAAATATTGTTGAAAAATATATGTACATACATACTTTTCAAGAGTATTCACCAAGAATGAATTAGCTAAAATTGTATCGGGTGTACACCGAACCAAAATCTTTCCCATCCCATCGATCCCGAATGAGCTCGTCTTAGCCAGATACTTCTCACTGCTCCGTCTCCCCTCTTGGGCCATTTTCTTCTCCGTCTTTCTTCTTCCTTTGTTGACAAACTTGGAGAGCAGAGACCACACAATAAACGGGCCAAAAGCAGCGGCAGAAGCGTCTCCGTCTCTGGCCCATTCGTGATTTTATTGCTCTTTTCGTCGTCATACAATATTTTTTTTTTTGGCAAATAAATCTTTTTTAAAACAGCCAGAGAGTAACAGAGAGGGAGAAATATCTCTATATATCATATATGTATATATATACAATATTGTATACGGGAGGTACGTACATATATGTGAACGCATTTGTCTATATATTAACGTATCATCGCCGCATATATAATTTATTTTGAAAGCGTGCGTACGCCACGCATTTTTTTCGCTGTCTGTCTGTCTTCGAACCTAGACAAATGGCTGCCCCACAAGACCAGAATACATATGTACATACAGCAAATATATAAGTAAATATGTATGTATGTACATATGCTATATAGGCTTTCATTCAGCGCCACCATCGTACCACTCTCAATGAATTTTGATATTAATTGTTTGGAGGGGGACCATAAAAAACATCAAATCCAAATGTGAAATGGTCGTTTCAGCAGCGCCGACCCCTCCGCCTCCGCCCACTAGATTCTCGGCTAGATCTATAAAAATGTACCATTATGACTCGACAACTTCTCAGACATCGACACGTGTATTGTATCTTGTGTTTGTATCTTTTTTTCTCTTTTCAAGCCTTTCTAGCCTTTTGGCTTGCTTTGGTTTGGTTTTCTATTTCACATTGTGTATACGCCCCGAGGGCCTGGCAGCGATACCAGATAAATAGCCAGCAGGTGACAAAAGATGTAAATGCATAACTTGATATTCAATAGATAACGCCGCACAGACCAGGTAAATGAAATCTAAATCGAATGGAGGAGACCTAAGCGACGGCACATGCAAACAACTTTCACCTGCAAATGATCTACACCCGGAGAAAAAACAGCCCTGACATTTGTAATGCTTACACTTGGATTTAAAAATGCATACCTTTGCACTACGCTTGTATTTGAAACCCGAAAATTTTATTTAAATGTGCGTGTGCTGTTTTTGTGAGTGTATGTATGGACTGGGAGACATACAGACAGAAAGACTTTCGCATTGAGATCGCTTGCCGAGGGCACCAGTACGCACACATATAATTACAGCACTCGAAATTGTGATTAGAAATCAGTTCTCGTCGAATGAATTGAGAGACAAACTGTATGCTATACACATACATATGTATATAGTATATCACCATTTACTTTCACAATCATCAAAATTCAAGTTCATGGCAAGCCGTTCAGCATTTGGCAAAGGTTTTTTCTTTTTCTACTTCGGGCTTGGTTCCGATTAGGCATTCATTTATGCCACCCGAACTACTAATCAATGACGCGCTGGTCGCTATCTCCAGGGCCGATAACTGACGCGGCAAGAAAGCTATAGAAAAATGTTTCAAAGAATTGTGCGTGTGGGTTGGGACCGAGACCAGGAGCCCGGGGAGACGATACGCACGGGAAAACTAAAATCTTATTTTGATTTCTTTCGTTTCTGTGTCAACGAACTCATTTGAACTAAATTCTACTTAATGATTTTACAGTCGTTGTTGCCTTCTTGATAGTTTCTTGTGCGTGTGTGTGTTATGTTTTAATAGAGCTCTCTTTTGGCGTTATCTAAAAGCTTGTTGCGTAGGCCGATTCGAATGCGTTTAGAAAAGAAAAGTTATTATGGACAGGGCGCGCCCTCTTTTGAGCTGATTAGAAGCAGGTTGTCCGAAGAAAAATTTGGATAAATTAACTAACAAAGAGACTCCATAACCCTTAAAGGATCATCATAATGCTGTGGCTCCTTCAATAGCATGGAAGAAAGACCTCGCAACATGGGAATTATACTTTAAACAGTCATATCTTCGTCTGTTACTTGTTCTCCGAAATCCCGAGCAGTGTCTTCCTTTGTGCTTGGAGTCCTGTCTTCATCCTAAAACCTAAACATATGTAAATCCTGAGGTATCCTCAATGGTTCTCCAAATTCTTCTGCTTATGACTCCACCTGCCATCCGACTATGTTCTTGTCGCCATATAGTCTGAAAAACAAAGCATATATAAATGTATGTGGTAGAGATAAGGAACCCCGTATTGGGGATGCACCTTTCGAAAAAAAAACCACCCTCGGGGGCAGATAAGAGACAATGTCATCTCAAAATAGGATTCCCCGCTTCGAGGTAAATCCCATGTTCAATTCTCTGGCTACAATTCTTCTATAAAATCTGCAACCGATCCCTAGATCGACATCAGTTGTATTTTACCATCTCACAAGCCAAGATGTCTTCCAACAAGTGCACCCTCGTGGCCGTCCTCGCCTGCTGTCTCCTGGCTCTGGTGTCTGCCTTTCCCCAGCCGGATCCGGAGGATTACTACGGAGGAGATCTGTCCCTGGTTCGCCACGTACGCTCTCCCGAAGGCGGTTCTGTGGTTGTGGAGGCCAGCAAGGATCCGCAGAGAGGCCGCGAGGCCAGCGTGCAGTACAACCAAAATCTGTATTCCAGCCGCGATGGGCGTGGCACTGTCGATGCCTATGCCCAGGCAAGCCGCAATTTCGATTACAATCGCAACGACTACGGCGGCGGCATTCAGGCCTCCTGGAAATTCTAAGGAGTAACGGAGATATAGTACTGGATGGAATGATCTAAATGAATAAAGACAAAATATAATTACATTAAAGAACACTTATAACAACAGATGGTTCACAGATCTCTCTGAGGAAAAACTGTTTCCAAAGCACAAGCATGGGCTTCTATGTCATTTCTGTTTGTAGGGTCCCAAGCGCCAACTCAACTGAAAAGACCTCAAAATGAGGGAGCAGCAACGGGGAAAAGCAGTTGATAGAGCCGAACCATAGGCTACCCTTCATACGCATTACCCACATAGTGTTCCACTGCAGTACCCCTTCTTCCGTTGTAAAGTGGCTGAGACAACAGATGTACCGCTTCCTCGAGGGTGAGCAAAGAAGTACTAAAAACTCACGAGTCGTCGTCGCCTGAGGGGTCAATGCACTTCCCTTCCCATCGACTTCCCCCGCCCCCTCTCCCACACTGCTGGCGTCGTTGTGTAACCAATAAAAATTGATTCTGTTGCGTGCGGGGGGACAAACACACACACACACAGAGAGAGAGAGTGAGAGGGAGACTGGGAGAAAGAGGGAGACAAACACTATAAGAAAGTCATTCAAGGGTCCGTCAGTCCGCTGCTTCTGCCACTGTTGCTGCTTCGTTCCTGCTGCTGCTGCTGCAATTGGGGTTGGCGCTGGCTTTTGCTGCATTTTATCGCTTCTTTTTTATCTACTTAGAAGTGTCTGTGTGTGTTTGTGTGTGTGAGACAGTGTGGGTGGGTGTGTATGCTGCTGCTGCGTTGCATGACTAACTGTAATTACTTTCGCTTTCCGTTCGACCAGCTGGCAAATCAATAAAAATACCCAACGCGAGTACAGAATGTAGTACACTGAACAAAATGGGGGACGGATAATCGTTCAACCATTAAGATTAATTAAGAATTAATTTTCGTTTAATTGGAATTTTACAATATATTTCAATTATTAAAGAATACTATTCTTTATTTGATTCTTGATTTTTCACATTTAAATAAACAAATTAAATGTATTTGCTCCGAAATAACTTTTTTCTTAAAAGACTTTTTAGCACAAATCTCCTTATGTTGGCATTTTAGACAGAATATGTACATAATTAAAAAATGGGCGTGCTATTTTGAATGTGACATTTTTCGCCGAGTGTAGATTTAACAAGGGAAGCTTTTCTTTAGGTGTACACGAAATACTGGTATTTGACCCGCTTGCACTTTTTGGGGATCTCCTTAAAGTTTTTTGTTCGGGAAAGCGACAACAAAGGCATCGTTAATGAAAACCCACGAAAAGGAAAACGAAAATAAAATAAAAAGCACTGCATACGAAAATGACTTTCCATTTTCATTTAACAATAAGCAATCAATTGCAAGTTCATGGCACGGCTAACGATCTATTAGAAGAAAGTAAAAACAACTAACGAAAGGAGAGAGACAGAGAGAAGTAGAGAAGTAGAGAGGCAGAGGGGAGGGAGCAGCGAAAGGAAGCAGAAACAAAAGAGACAAGGCTGAGACGCCTACACTGAGACACGCCGCTCCACGAGGTGAGTGCAGCTGTCAGCTGTTGTGAGCGAGAGAGATGGAGAGCTGGAGAGCTGAAGAGCTGAAGAGCTGAAGAGCTGGAGAGCTGGAGAACTGGAGAGGGATAGAGCGGTGGGAAAACTGCAGCAGATGCAGCCGCCGCGCGACTCGACTCAACTCCCAACTGGTTTTTCATTTTGACTCGGAAAAACCACACATTGGCATTGCCCCGTTGCCATTTTTAGTGGCAAAAACTGACTGCATCATAATGAAAGTGAAATGCATTGCAAAGATGGCAGTTACCAGATGCAGCACGGACAGAGCGACAGAGAGAGAAAGAAAGAAAGAAAGGGAGAGGCAGAGGCAGAGGGAGAGCCAGAGAGTGGCAAGTAAGTCAAGTGCAGCAGCATCAACTGCAGCGGCAGCAGTAGCAGCAGCAGCAGCAGCAGCAGCAGCAGCAGTTGTTGCAACATGAAGTGCAGCCGCCATAAACGAGCTGCAAAACATGGATTGGAATGTGCGCACGCGTCACCGACAACTCCATCGCGTCGCATCGCATCGCATCGCATCGTATCGCATCGCCAACTCGTCTTCCGGCCCGTGGCGCCTGCTGCTCACTTATTTGGCTTATTGAGTTAATTGGCTACATGCGAGAAAGAGGGTTAAGCAAGCACAAGTGGCTAAATTATGTCAACAGTAGCATGTACAACGCATACCACACGTACGTATGTACATATGTACATATGTAAATTAAACAACTGCGGTAGCGGATTGTGTTTTTAAAAAGTTTTTATTTTACTTCGAACTTCACTGATATAGATTTAAGTAGAGGGTCACAAAGGAATTCCGGGCCAAGGGATTGCGCGATCTTAATATTTAGCTAGACTTTGCGGTGTCGCTGCTGGATCAAGACTGATTTGAACTTTCTGATCTTTGCATCGTTGATCCCTTTCGGGAATCGTTTTTCTATAAACATTTCAATTGATTTCGCCATCCCGAGTATTAGATTTCGTCATCCAAAGAGAGAACTGTAAAAGGCCTAAAGTGCAGGATCTGCAGAAAGCCGGGAGTGAGATTGTTTATGAGAAGCCGGGTGTGGGCAAACATTGGTTTTCCATTTAGGCGAGTGTCAAAGAATGGGATTGCGGCGGGGGCGCTTGAGATTGTACATCTTAGAAATCAATTAGGCGGAGGCCCAAGATTGAAATTGTTTTCGTTTTGGAAAACCAAAGATTGTTTACAACTCGTATAAGAGCTCAATGGAATTGGGTACGTTAACTCCCCCCATTCTTAAATGTTTCGTCCCGATACATTTTGAAGTTCTGATAGAGCTCTAATTTCTTCTGACAGTATTTGAATGTTGCTTTCCACTATTTCTTCTGACGGTATTCTTATTGATTTAATAAGTACAAATTTGGTTAATTTATAGCAGAAGTAAAATAACATTAACAATATCAAAATGATTAAAAATAATGTTGTTAATGGTAAGGCCGTATTACCTAATGTTATAAGGGGATTTAAAATATTAACATTATCAAAAGAAAATTGCTTATCATTTGATTGTATATAATCAACTAATTCAAAATCGCTATATCTATGATGCGATATATATTTTAGAATTTTACCCTTATCATTTATGTGGCTTATATTATTTATTACAATTGTGTTGTTGAATATAAGGAGATACGATCCTAACAAAGTAGTATTGTCTACGATATTTTTGCCTGAAACTAATATGGCACCATCCTGAATGATGTCTATTTCTTTGTTTTTTTTCCCTTTTTTTAGTGCAGTTGGCTTTAAAGCCATTAAGTAAATTGGTGAAACAGGTACTCTTTAAATTTATTTGTGCGTAATTGTTAAAAGTTTCACTTTTAAAATTATTCATTAAATAGTATTTCTCCTTACATTCACAAACTTTTTCACTTATAACTAACATTCCATCATTTTGTGAGATGGCTCTTGCATGGTAAAACTTGCAAATATCTTTAATTTGAGGATATTTTATGTAAATGATTATTAAATCTGCATTTCGAATTATTTTAACCGTTGCAATGTCCAACAGATCAGACAGTTCAACATTATGTTTTTCATGCTTATAAATGTCCTCTATTTCGTTTTTATTTAAAATTTTTGTATTGAAAATGTTTACTTTTAAGAGGGTTATGGTATCAACTAAATTTAGTAGGTCAAAAGTTATTAATTTTAAACGATGCTTTCTCAGTATCGTTTCTTCATTGAAGATGACATTCTTTAATGAATTTGATAGCAATTCAATTTCTTTGAAAAATTTGGAATTTATTACAAATTGTTTATTATTATTTTCAGTTAATTCATTTACTTTATTTTGTATTTTCAAAAAGTCGTCATGATCAGGGCTGCCTGCTATCCATTTCCAAATGGTACCTAATTCATTTATTCCCCTTTCTTTCCGTTTTGGAACTAATTCTGAAATCATTAATTTTAATAGACTTAAGTCCATTGATATTTCCCACTCATCGTCTGAATTAATTGATTTGTTGACATATTTGGATTCTTTATCAATTATCTCTCTATAAAAACTCAAATTAGTAATATGGAAAAGTTCAGCGTATGTTTCATAAGTGTAAACGTCTCTGTCGTCTTTGAGCAATAGATAGTCACTATGCGTATAGTCAATTACTTCCGCAGTCGTCAATATAACAAAAGTCAGTATTAGTATATTCGCATACATTTTCTGGAAAAAATATTTAATATTTGATGTTATCTTTATGTATAATTCTGTTTCTATTGTTGATTATAATTTTATTCGGTCGATTTTCCTTAACTACCTGCTTTTTGTATCGGGATTGAAGTTTATTTCTTTCCCCGAATTTCTTTTCATAGACTACTTCTCCTATTTTATAATCTTTTTCTCTTCTATCTTTGTTATGTATCTTAAGCATTTTGGTCTGAGCTTCCTTAAGTAATATTGGATTATGTTTGTGTTCTATTTTGTTATACAATATGTCATATGGCATTTGATTGGTCGTTGAATGTATCGTCAGGTTATATTTCAGTGCCGCCCTTATTATTATTTCTGAATAATCTGTTAGATTTAGTTCATCCTTGATGCACCGCGCTATTTCTGTTAGTGTGGAATGTACCCTTTCTACCTGACCATTTGAGGTGCTGTGTCTGGGATCAGCATAATAAATAGTTAAGTTACTTCTTTGTATGAATGATCTAAATTGTGCTGAAGTAAAGCTTGGTTCGTTGTCAGTCATTAATGATGTTGCTAACGGAAAGTGTTGTAAAATTTCCATTACCTTATTTTCAATGTTTAATTTACTTTGAATTTCCTTGACCACCAAGTATTTGGAATAAGAATCTATACAAGTTATGAATGTTAGGTTTTGGGCATAGTATATGTCTAAGTGTAATTGATCTCCTTCTTTTGCTGGAATGGGAGCTTCCCCAATTGGAATTTTTACAGGGTGTCTCCGATATTTGTTTTTGTTACAGATCTCACAATTTTTTATATATTCTTTTAATTTTTTGTGCAGGTTTGGCCAATAATACAGCTTAGTTATTTGTTTGTAATTTTCGTCTAGTCCTCTATGGG